TGCCTAGCTTCGTGGGTTATGCTGCCTATTGCGGCTGTGCCATACAAATTCCCTTCATGGGGAGCTCAAATCTCGCTGTGAGGGAGACAGCTACCACGAATGTTCAGGTAAACTTACAAATCATTCGCTCCATTGGACTCAACTGGAAGTTCGTGCTAGTATTGGTACTTCTTCAATATCATGCCGCTCTTTGACATTCGAGCTAATGTTTATCGGTAGGATAGCTATGCCGAGAACATTATGGATGCCCATCAGAGACATCCACTGCATCTGACAAATGAGCCGAGATGGCTTCCAACAAACAAGCTGAATGGGTTCAGGATAGTAGCATCAAAAGCACGAGTCTCTATACTAGAGCACAATACTGTGCTCTGGAGAGAAGATAGTGTGTCTGCTCAAGGTGAAGAAATAACAGACCTTGGGTTTGGAAACGTCCAACTGGAAGTGCTAGATCAGTTACTGTCTCCAAACGAATCTCGTATTGCTGGAGGTACGGAGCCTATCCTCGCAATCCGTCTATTCCTAACAGCGCAACAGGTCCGGCCGATGACGCGGGTAGAGCAACGCACAGTACTTCTGGCGCCATATCTCCCTTAGACTGTCATTGGGTCCCTAGATCATGGGATGATTCGCCAGAGGAGTCCTTCCAACAGCTATTGGACGCGACAGACTTGTTCGACATGCCACTGGAATAGAACTTACTTTCTGGAAGGCCGCATCAATATCAACGGCTGGCAATTCTTGGCCTCTGGCAATCATTTATCATCTGGATTCAGCTGTAGGATTCAATTTGAGATATCAACCCGAGACATGAGGGGCTAATGGTATAGTCCGGCACCATGGGAAGACATCACACTCGGGAGGTATGTGCAGAAAGGGTTCGATCACCGCGGCACCACAACGTTCCGATCGACCCGAGGCTTGGCTTAAGAATTGGGGTACATTGTAGTTTGGTCGCATATGACGTTGAGGTGGGTATTTTCCGAACTGACCGAAAGAAGCTCCCCGCACATCCAACTACAACATTGGGTAAGGTTTGGTAGGAATAGGACCTTTGATCCCGGTAAGGATGAAGAACCGCCACTGTTGGCTTTATGAATTAATGTCTTGCGACGACAAGGGATCTGTCTTCAGAGGTTATGTTATTCTTTTCATGGTTTTCTGCGTATAAGGAGGCACCTACCACGCTTTTTGGTGTTCGCAATTGCAAGGAAACCCAGATGGGGTGCGAGAATGTACCAGCCCGCGGGGTTGAATCAAACCATCTTAATTGGCAAATTATCTTTGTATAAAAGAAAAGGCCAGCTTTGGCGTAATTCTCTGGCTGTAGGGAGTAGGCTTTACTATTTGTCCACATGTTTTGCGTTTACATAGTCGCAAGATCCAGCAATCACCACCTACAGCAAGCAGCAGCCAGCAATAGCTTATATACAAGACATGGTTGTGAACATGAACGAGTGAATGATCATAGAGCGGGATTTTCCGATTCTCTCGAATGTTATTTACCTGTTCGCCGACGTTTTCCGACCAAAAATGACGAAACGAGTTCCCGTAATCGTGACAATGGAACCCTACGGTAAAGGTGTCGAATGTAAGACGGGCTACGCTGCTCAATGGAAGTGGATCATTGACACTTACCCGGTCGTTCTACCTGGCTCCACGTGCTCTTTCATGGCGTGAAAGACCGTCGGTTCAGAAGTCTGGATTGACTCGGGATATACTGTCATCTGCGTGGATTCGAGAGGCTCCGGTGGATCTCTAGGATACTTAAACATTCTCTCCCCGCTCCAGGCTCAGGATTATTATAATGCCATCGAGTGGGCGGAAACCCAAGACTGAAGTGATGGTAAGGGCGGTTTGAACGGATCTCATACTATGCAATTGCGCAATGGCTGGTCGCCGTGCTCTAGTAAGTAGATCTGGTCCTTAAGCTCTCGCTATGTCAGCAGTTAGGACGTCACTGAACCGCGCATGACAGACCACCACATCTTGCCGCTATAATACCATGGGAGGGAGCTACAGATTCCTATCTCGACTTTTCACACAATGGGGTATTCTCCTCAAATTTCTTTTTGGAGCACTGGCTTCCGTTACAGGCCAGCTCTGCCTAACCCGGCAACTCATCAGGTCCTATGGATCCTAGGCTTTGGGCTAGTGAGACTGGGGCGAATACGGCCTCGTCCTCGACAGTGCTCATTCAGGAACAGCTGAAGGAGAATCGTCGAGATATTGTTGCAGCCATCCGTCAACGGCCAGCCGACGATGAGTTCTACTGAGAAAGGTGCAATGAATAATCAAAGCGTGATTACTGTGGAGGGACATAGACGGATTGGAACCACCTCGATAGTGAAAACACTTCGAACAAGCTGTGACCTCGGCCTTTTGAGAAGAGGTTCCAAAGGCCTTAGGAACGTGCGTCAGAGGGGGGTGCGTGAGGGCATTTCACAGCTGGGTTGAGGAGCCGAAACTGGCCCTAGAAGGCTGGCATTTAGGGTTACAGCTTCTGCACAAAGGAAGCGTTTGCTATCTTGCGAAGCGTCCCCCCAGCGAGTACCACTCGTTGGAGAAGACGATCTTGAGGCTGAAGAGCGTGAGGAGACCGTCGCTGGACCTGAGCTTTTTGACGCCGGCCACGAAGTTGTTGACCGAGTCGATGGTGGCTTGCCTTAACTTCGGCCTGCTCTGGAGTGGGGTGTATTTCGAACAACCAGAGAATATGAAGTAGGAATAAATCGGTCTTCAAAGCACGAACAAAAGCGGAACCTTGTCCTTAATGTTCCCAATATGAGAGCTGCTTCCATCGAATCGCCAACGGCATAGTACTCGTGGTATGCGCCGGCAATTCTCCTCGCGCATAGGAATCTCTGAGCCATTTCAGAGACAGCAAGTACCCTCAACCACGGCGCTACTTGGTCAGGCTCCAAAAGCATGCCAATCACCAAGCCAGTACTCTGCTGTTCTGCCAATTGACTCTAGAGGAGACGTGACAAGCCTCGCATGCCAAAAATGATCGCGCAGGCATTGCGCGACTTACAAGGGGCACTCCTTAGCTTCAAAGGATCCGGATACTTAGTCTCCGGCATTCCGGTGAAGCGCACGTGCGTAGCGAGCGGCAGATATGCGCGTCTTCCACGGCACCAATCTCGCACGTTGGACATGCCTCCTCCATGGGACGCCACGCGTGGACCCGGCTGTCTTGAGTTCAAATTTCAGTCATAGGCTGAATAGGGTCCACCAGTTCCGCGTGGGGCGAAGACATCATGTCTCTGGCTGATTGGAGTGAAACAAGAGGCATCAAGGCCGATTCATTGAGGGAAATGACTTTTATGGTGACGGATTGAAAGCTGGAATGCAGGACGGGCAGGACACAAGCTAACATAACGTGTTACATAAGCTTACACCGCATCACTTGAACCCTTATGAGAAGGTAGTTGATTCTCCAATCGGAGGCTACGGAAAAATGGACAATCCGGCCAACCCGCTTCCCTCCCAACCTTTCTACCCCGCTCAGACTGACATCCTTTATCCATCCACATCCAACTACACCCCTCCCCCCCGACATCAGCGTCATACAACACATCACCTCTATCCTCGTTTATCAATGTTCCATCCTGGTCATTTACTATAAACACACCACCTCGTGTACCCTAATGCTCGTATGCACACCCCACCGACACTTGTCTTAACCCACCTAGGTACACGCTGACACGCTGTCATGGTACATTAGTGCAAGTGGTCCGAAGATTACCAACAATGACCGCTTGGTCCCATCAGTCCGCCCAGATCGTCTAGTTGGTTAGGATGATACGTTGTGGTTCTTCTATACAGCGATCCGTGTTGACGGCGGTTCGAATCCGCCTCTGGGCACACTGTCATTTTGCTACTATTATTTTGCTGTTGTGATGAAGCTGGTCTATATCTATCTTATGGCACTTATCTTTACTTCTTCTTGCTTGTATCTATTGTTTATCTTACGTGTGTTACATGCTCTCTTTTGACATGTTCTTACGTCCCTTGACGTTGCTGTTGTGGAAATGCTCAATAGCTCCTACATCCCCTTTGCCCTGTTAGTTCCGGAACGGCTGCCAGGGGGGTTGTGTGACCTAACTTTAGGCTTTCTTTTTAGGTAATCATAACAGTCGCTGCTATTCCTAATGTTCTACTCGTGACTATACTAGGTAGTAACAGAACGACCTGTGCATGCATTACTTAGGTGTACTTAATTACGCACTAGAAGTAATCTGCTTTTTACCACGGCCGGGCATGTGCTGATTGACATTGCTCACTTGAGTGGGGTTGGCATCTAGACACAACAGTCTAGAAGCTCTGTATCTGTTACACCGGTGGGATCCACATTTCCGCCACTATATCATAGGTCAATGACTAAGCTACTAGCAACATTGGGACCTATATAGAGGCAGCCTTTCTCTAACAGATTAGCATAGTGGAATCTAAGCATCTTATACCTCTTATTTCCGCACCTCGGTGCAACCTGGATTCCGGGTATTAGTATCCTTTTACGTATGTGCAGAACAGTTCTGGCGTACATATTATAAGGGCACAGCGGCAATATAACCACTATTAGAGCACTACAGGAGCGAGCTGTAATACTGTCACAAGCCTTGGGTGGCAGATAACCTTGCGCGGCGCGCACGTAGATAATCGCGTGCCCCGCGAGTATATATATACTCAACCATCTCGAGAACCTTCACCTCGAGATGGTTAACCATAACAGAGGCTATCTACTTATACCTATCTATTGCTTGCCCTATTCACTCTTTGCTTGTGCCAGTTGTTCATCGCTTGTTCTATTGCTTATTGCGCGCGCGCGTTGCTTGCTTGCTTTTGCCCTGTTCACCGCGTCTCTTCACGTCGCTGTTGTGTAATTACTTAACAGCTCCCACAGCCCATTCGCCCTGTCAGATCGACGCGGCTGCCAGGAAGGCTGTATAACTAGTTGGTCTAATTGGGGGAAGTTTTCTAGGAGAAAAAAAAGTAGATGACCAGCCTGGGGGTCGAACCCAGAATCTCCTGATACCGACATAATCGTAGTCAGACGCCTTGCCATTGGGCCAACCGGCCGCTTGAACACTAATTGTTAGCGAAAGGCCACAGTTTAGCTTATATATCCCTTTACACATATACTAGCACAGAATATAGTCTCACCATTGGCATAGTCAAAGCCGACTGTTCATCGGTTCAAGGCCTAAGTCTCAAAGCTTTATTCGAGTTATTATAGAAGTTGTCACGAGGGTGTTTTTTTCAGTGACTATCGTAGCGGTTGGCGGCAGGTTCTTCCGGAATTGAATTCTGTGGATACTGGATATGCACTAAACCGAACCACGCAAATGGGCATCTCCTGCTCACTCGCACTTTGGAGAACAGTGTTCCCGGTCTTTCACATGAGGGAGCAATATGGAAGTTTGTGATTAAACCCAGATATGTTATCTCACAAAGCTACATGAGAAGCAGAATTCGGTGATGGGCACATTGTTGACCACTCAAGATGTCGTTTCCTGACAGGCCGGTCGCTCACCTGCTGGGCTCGAATGGTGAGTTGAGCCGACTTTCATGCGCACGAGACTGCTTTGCATCTGGCCACAACTGGAACTTGTATATAATTGAATCTAATTCCTAATTACCAATAGGACCCGTTCACGCCGTCACGTACTCTGCCTCTCCAGGCACCTATATCCTCACCGGCTCAGCAGACCGCAGCATCAGACTTTACAATCCGGCGTCTCACGACCAGCCCGCGCGCTACGGGGGAGCCATTACCAGCAAGAAACCGCCAGGGACTACCCCGACAGTCCCAGAAGGCCGCCTCATCCAAACCTACGCCGCCCACGGCTATGAGGTCCTCGACCTATCCGTTTCATCAGATAACGAGCGCTTCGCCTCTGTCGGCGGTGACCGCGCCGTCTTCCTCTGGGACGTCGCGACGGCCACGACGACGCGCCGCTTCGGCGGCAACGTGCATGGCCACACGGCGCGTATCAACTGCGTCTCCTTCGCCGGCGACGCCGACTCGCTCGTCGTCTCGGCAGGATTCGACACGAGCGTGCGCGTGTGGGACGCCAAGTCCAGCTCGGCCAAGCCCGTGCAGGTCCTTGACGAGGCCAAGGACGCCGTCACGGCGCTCGCGGTGCGGGATGCGGAGATCGTGGCGGGCAGTGTGGATGGCAGGGTGAGGAGCTATGACGTGCGCATGGGGCGATGTGTGACGGATGTCATCGGCGCGAGCGTGACGAGCCTGAAGCTCACGCGCGACGGGAAGGCCATGCTAGTCAGCTCGCTGGACAGCAAGATCCGGTTGATGGACAGGGAAAGCGGGACGTGTCTGAAGACGTATGCAGATGGCGGTTGGCGGAACGAGGAGCTGCGAGTGCAAGCCGTGCTCGGTGGTAAGGAGAAGTATGTCATTACTGGGGACGAGCTCACTGCTGGCACGGGGCCGGCGGGGCTGAACGGTGATGGCAAGATGTGGGCTTGGGATCTGCTAACGGGTAGGTTAGTCGCCACCGTGAGAGTTCCCTACCCAGAAGGCTTCGAGCCGAAGAAGAGGATACTAGGAAAGGACGGCAAGGCAAAGGAGAGAAGTAACATTATCAGCTGCATAGCTTGGAGGGATGACGGATGGGGGGATCAGTTCTGCGTCGGAGGCACGTCAGGAGTAGTCACCGTCTTTGGCTCGCTATAGTGGAGGGTTTGATCTCGAATACAAGCACCACGATGCCGCAGCAATTGGGAGGGTATTCACTTCTTTAAGATGTTCATGCTTCTAACCTCATCTACTCAAATCATACAGAGTCATGTCCGTTTCTGACCCCGTGGTACTTTACACATGTATGGATGTTCCGCAGACGCCCAACACCATTGTACCCAGATGCCTCCTGGAAAGTGCCCAATTGGTACCAACCAAATAAATAAATATGAACAGCAGCCGTCCCTCGCAGAAAGGTCGTTCAACTAGTCCATGCCGACGTATTTGAACCAGTTCGGGCGGCAGTCGTCCTTGTGCAACCAAGCCTCACCGTCGGTAAAGCGGCCAGTCACACAGCCCTTGCACTTGTTCGAGTTGGGACAGTTGAAGAACGGGATGTGCTGATATCCGATATCACGGAACCTGATACGTGTTAATATTGCACCCCCCTCACATGTAGTTTGGCAAAACCTACCAATGGATCTTGGACTTATCCTCAAAAAGACCCAAAGCGATGCTGTGAACGGGGGCGTCGCCCCATCTCTCGTAAAAGAAACCCCCAGCGCGGTCCAGGTGTTGGAAGTAGTCCTCATACGCCTGGCTGCGCCAGAAGTCAATATCGGCGATTTCGAAGTTGCTCCAGAAGTGGCAGGTGGAGTAGCCGTTTGCGTTCACGTTGTTCTCGGGTCGGTGAGTCTTGTCAGTGAGCCAGTCCAGGGCGTTGTTCTCGTGAAGGTACTCGGGGTGCTGGGCAAGGAACTTGACGGTCTCGGGCCACAACGTCGGGATCGACTTGGGTGCGTCGTACAGGTTGATGGTGAAACCGTACGTCTTATTGTTGTCCTGCATGTATCGGAAGACGTCGTAATCGACGTCGCAGAAGAAATGGACCTTGGGCTCAACGCGCCAGTAGTACTTGGTGTGCTGGAGAGCGGGATGCCTGTAGAACATTCCACTGTTCCAGCGGCACATCGAGTGGTACGAGATCTTGTCGGCGTATTGGATATCATTTTCCTTGAGAATCTTGACGGATTCTTCGTAGAGATCCTTGTTGATCCATGACGGCATCTCCCAATGCTCCTTAGGAATAAGCTCTATAGGCGAGCGTCAGTGCAAGTGTCGCGTGGGGGAGATTCGCAGATGCTTACCGTATCTGCATTCGGCCTTGGTGGCAGCCTGGGTCCTCCTCTTGAACTCGTCCGTGAAGGGAACCTCGTTGAAGAAGGTCCAGGGGTAGTTGAACTTGTGATTCCATGTGCTCTCGAGGTCGACCATCGACTGGATCATTCCATCCAGTTCCTCGTTCCTGACCAGCGCCAGCAAAGTTGCGTTGATGCGCGCAGAGTCCTTGGCGTCGGGGGCATACTTGTCGGAGGCGTACGTCAGAATACCTGGAGGCTCACCGGTGGCTGTACAGAGATGCAACGATTAGCCATCTGTGCAAGATGGGGCTTGTATGCTTTGCAGGCGCAACTCACGATCGAGGTTGGGGTCCCGTCCATTGTCGTAGCGCACAGGCTTCTGGCCTATCGGCCTTTCAGGACCAAATATCTGATAAAGGAAGAAGCACCATAGCATCACGGCAGCTAGGGCCAGAGCTCGAACTGGCCTGGCGACCGCCATCTTGGGTGAAAGGTCGAATGCGAGCTAGCAGTCTTAATATGGTGGTGTCTGCCCGGATCTCAACCCGTCGGGCGCTGTCAGATTTGAGGTCCGCGCGAGTGTCAATGAGCGTAAGGGCCAGGTCGTCGAAGTCGGGTAGTGGGAAATTCTCAGTGGCGGCTCGTGCCGTCGTTTTTGAGGGTCGCCTGGAGGTGTGGGAGAAAGATTTGCCAGCTAGGTACCAGGCCAGGTTGGATTGCGACGCGTAAAATTCGAAAAAGGGGCTCGATGGCAATCGTTCCCAGATCGTTGGCTGGTTGAGGCTGATGTCACCCATGAAATTTGCCAATTAGCGCACAGTATTGAAAGGATCGAGGCCTATGGGCTACCGCTCCAGTAATCTCACCCCCCTGTACGCTAGCGATAAGAGAGGGCGGCACCCCCGCCGCCTCTCCCGCCCTGTATCCTGGCTGCCTGTCGCGTATCAACTGTCACAAGCCCCGACGAACGCGTCTTCAGCCATGCGCAACCTTCAATGTCCAACAGCGATGATTTGAACCTCGGAACCAATCGCCAGCGGTTCGGCTTTTTTAAAGCATCATGGCATTCGCTGCGAAGCTCGGCGCCTTGACCGACGAGCTTGTCGAGGTCATCACATCAACATCAGACAAGGTGGGAGTTCATCTCATCTCGCATTTGAACACATGCAATGTGGTGCAGCTCGGCCCGTCGCTAACATCATGCACAGAAAATCAGTCGGGAAAGGTTCAATGTAATGCGCGAGTCTTCTCTGCGCAGCCTGAGGTACCACAGCTTCTTGCGCACCAACCAGTTCGATGTTGAGAGCCAGCTCGTTGGGCTAGAGGAACGCTTCCGAGTTCACCATCGCGAAGGCTTGGCGGATGCCTTTAGAGAACGTCTCGATGCGCTTTCGCAGTTTCGGACGAAGTGGCATCCCGATATATTACATTTCCTGCTCGAGCTAGCTGACCGACCGACGCAGAAGACTCAGCTAAGCGATCTAGAACTCTTGAAGGAGCCTGGAGAGGATACCGAACCGCCACTTAGATGGGAGGATATTGCAAAAGAGGATGGCTGGCATGAAGATGCCGACATATGGAAGTCTATCGATTACAGCGATAACTCTGGCGATGAATACGGCGAATTGGAGTCAGAAACATCGAACGAATCCGACGATACATCACTTTCAACCCTCGATGTCTCATCCAGCAGGCGACCAGAGGATTTCGAGATTGCCTCTTCCGACGAAACCGCTCTGAAAGAGGTTCAGGACAGTCAGGCCTGGAGAACAGAAGCAAACACTGCGTCCTCGGCTCGACAACACAAGGTACCCATAACCGAATTTCAAGCGGCAAGAGAAGCTCTGTTCATGCTTCAAGGTCTCTCGACGACACTATTCCTCAAAGACGGTCTTCCCGATCCAGCATATCAAATTTTGAGTGTCGCTTGGGATACCTACAAGGCTTTAATCACTTGCTTCGCTGAAAGCGGACGTCAGCTTTTTCTACTACGTTCGTTCTCGAAGAGGGTGCAAACGGCGCCTCTCTTCCAGGTTTTTCGCGACAATGTTGTGGCTAGTCTGCAGTCCTTCGACAAGAAGATATCGGCTATTCAGGGGCGACTGGCAGTAGCACGGGAAGATACAGTCGTCAGCATGGCAGCAATCTTAGAAGAACTCAGGCCTCACTTGGAACCTCTGAGGTCTCTGTCCGAGATCGTGCGACAGCTCTACGAACCCGCAAATGGCGGCGCGTTT